TTCGAGCTAGTAATTCTCTCTTTCAAGTGTCTTTCCATCCTCGTTTATCATAAGTAATTAAAATATTTGCTTGGAGCACGAAGCCACGAGAAACATGAGATTTCAAGGGGCATTAAAGTTGAAACTAGACGAGCTGATTAATCGGCGTTCATTATGCAATAGTCAATTGCCGATGGCAGAGCGAAAATACATATCAATGCCACGTGAACTCTACTTCTAAAATCTGAAGTAAATAGCGCGATGATGAGTAGGGACGTCGGGTGGGGGAATCGGTGGGATGGGCGGGGGGGGGGGGGGGGGGGGGGGGGGGGGGTGGGGGGGGGGGGGGAGCGGAAGAGGAGCAACGAAATGGAAAATACGGCGTCTTTCGTCTTTCGTCAGTGGCCATACACTAACAGATACGATAATCACCGAGTCAGACGTCCGAAGTGAGCGAGACATAATCACGGCGGCAACCGCGTCATCGTCTCCTTTTTGTCGGCAATGACGATCGCACAACACCACACGAGTGCAAATCCGGAAAGAAATAAGGATTTATCGTCGCATTTTCAATAGACTCACTATCTCCGATCAATACTCGTTTTAATAAGACTCATTTTAATTTGAAACTAGCGTCGCCATCGTTGAAAATTCGCCTCACCCAGAGGTCTCGATAAAAATATTGAGTATAATTCAACAGAGCGGAATATCTTACAGCAGTGGCTGGAAATTTTCGAATAGTGCATTGTAAATTTTGAATATTTATGTTAAGTCTAATGTAGAAGTGAAAATTATCCCACAATAGGGCGAATGAATTTAGCGAATGAATCGCTAAATGATGAATATAATCGTAGATCGAGCTTGCAGCTATCGCAATTGGATATTGAAAATTTCGATGACCTTCCCACTTATTCCCCTTGAAATTGTATCCGTACGTCGATTCCGCAGGCTACCTCAATTCCTCATAAATTATGAACAATAAGTCGCTGATACGTATGATGATATTGAAATAATAAAGGTTAAAAACAGTACTTATGCTTAATCGCTTGCCAATGCACTTTTTTTTCTTTCACGCCTCAAATGTGTGCGAATAATTTGGGGGAAGGAGGGACGACGCTACATGCCAATCATTATCGGCAATTCGTGAATTCGCACGAGCAGCGGAGTGTAAGTAACGCGTCCCAATGTCGTCACTCGCTACACAAAATTACACAAAAATTCGAAAGAAAGAAATAGGGAATAAGGAAAAATAAGAAATATTCATTTGGCCAATCGGCTCGTCTCTTACATATTAGCCGAAGCAGCCGATCCGAACATAATATTCGCAGGCTATATCGCTACGGTCTTCCATTACTTACTATCCAAGAGCGGGGCGCTAATCGTAATCAAAGTAGTTCCGATTAAAATCACCGAGGCTGGAAAATGGAGGGGACCGGTGGAAAAATCGCATCGGAGCAGAATCGTCTCGCGGCGCTCAAAGTCCAAGGATGACTCGGACGATGAGCGGACAAGAGCTCGCGCTAAGGAAATGCCCGGCAACGCCGAGGTCCGTTAGAATTCTCATTGAAGAAATGGTAGACGAGGAGTCTTTGCGCGACAGCCGGCAGCGGTCCCATAGCGTATTTGGGAAAATTCCCGCGGGCCCGTCGCCTCTTATCCCTCGCTACTACTTGTCATTCCCGACGAGGTTCGTTCCCCGGAAGGCGGCGCGGCGCCTACGTCACTTCTCCGCTCCTTCTCCCCCGGCCTCGCGGCGAATAAAAAAAGTGGCACACGCGGCCGCTTCTCCAGTTGGCTTTCGTGGGCGGCCTAAGGAAGAGGAGCAATCGCACGTCTCGTGCCTCCGACAACGTTATTCGACACGTGCGCGAGGAGATCGTCGCACGTGACAGCCCGGAGCATCGCCACGAGTCAGCGAGGGGTTGGATTGGACGGGTGATAGAGTCGGGCGGGCGAGTGCACGTTTGTGTTCCGAGCTCGGGTGGAAAGGGGGTTGGGTGCGCGGAGAGGTGCTTCCAGTCGGTCGTTTCTGTGTAGCGGCGGTGTGCCGCATGCGGAACCCCAGCGGCACGTCATTTGAGCTTGAATCGCGAGTGTCATTTTGGAGAAATAATCGAGGAATAAAGAAGAAAGTGACGGGGTGTGAAGAGAGGAGTGTGCCGAAGAGTGTAGATTGAGTTGAATTTTGGTTTGGCGCTTATCAACGATCCTCGTCGTCGAATGCAAATAATGTTGAGCCGTCGACAGCGAAAAACAAAGACGTTGCGTTGAAAAATCATTGCCAGCGCACGTACGCGCGAAGTAATGCCGCGAAGCATCGGGAAGAAAAAGTGATTTAATTAAGGTCTAAAGAGAGCTTATTTAATATCCATTTAAAAGACTCGACCGAGAGGATTGTAAAACGAGTTTGAGGATCGAGTAAAATCGGCAATTTTATCGATTCGGCAAAGAGTGAAAAAGAAGGCGACGAGCGACTGTCGTACTTTTTTGGTCTTCCGACTGACTCTGCGAGGTAAACGACAACGGGGCAGCGAATCGCTTGACCGTTATTAAAGTCAATCGTTGCAGCCATTCGATGAGTAATCCTTGGACGGGAAGATCCAGTCCGAGAAGATGAGTGAACTTTATTTTATTGAAAGTATAATTCCCATTGATTATATATGATATTTTTCGACTTTCCGGCTGAGTAGGCGATGGCTTGATGCACATGATCGATATATTTGAAATAAGTGAACGACGACTGTGCGTGCTTATAAGTGTATTGTAAAACTGTTTAGAGCACTTGATATTCCAACGGGCATTCTAAAATCTGATATAAAAAATGAATGCTTCGTCGGCGAAGTGATGTAAGTAAGGAAATTTTTAATATCATCCAAATACATATTAAAGCGGAGCAAATAGTCGCGCGTTGACGCGACAAAACAGCAGCTGCGCTTACGGGCAAACGCAATGGCCAAAATACAAGATATGACGTGTAAGCGAGTGATTCCCAAAATTGTGTGCACCCGCGCAAGTTTCTGCGACGATGATCTCGACAACGGCGTCGAGAGCAATAACAATAGGAGCAGCAGCAACAGCAGCATCAACAGCAGCAGTAGCAGCAGCAGCAGCAGCAGCAGCGGTAACAGTAACATCAACAATAATAGTAACAACAGCAACAATAACAACAATAACAACAATAATAATAATGATAATAATAATACTACTACTACAAGCCGTCACAGCATCAGTAACTGTAGCATCAACAGCAGCGGTAGCAGCAACAACAACAATAACAACAACGGCAACAACAACAGCAGCAACAAAAGTAGTGGCAGTGGGTCCGCCGAATCGAAAAAGATCAACGGCAATAGCATGGCGCGACAGAAGAAAATCGCACGGAGCCGCGTCCGTCGAAACTCCCGCAGACTCTCTCTCTCGAGTTCCGAGTGCAGGCATTCCTCATCGTCCTCGAGGAGTCCATCTCCCATGTGCTTAACAATGCGAAACCGACGCAGTTCCGAGATGACGAACGACGAAGCGACGAAAAATCAGAATAACTATTATGAAGCGACTGGCTACAAGCAGTACTTGGAGCTCCTGGACGTGCCTGACTTCTTCGGGAATAACGTTGAGTGGAGCGAACCCAGTGGCGACGACCTCAGTTCCGAATGGGACTCCGATCAGAGCGTCAGAGGCGATAAAGTCACTGATGACGAAGAAATCGAGAGCCGACTTGTTTTAACGAAGGTACGCATCGGTCAATCGTCTCGCTCCTGTCGTATAGTGGAAAGTGAACTTGTTGACTGTTAAAGACGCAATTACGAATTGGCATACGACGATCATCATAGCTCGCGAAAATGCCAATAAACGCACTACATCTTATGGCTAAGAATTCATTTACCGATCGTGACATTTCTCTGATATTGCGTAAGCAGGGATCAGTTTTAAATATTTAACTGCTTGTATAAAGATTACGTAAATTTAATTACAATATTAAATTACAATATATACATATAATTTAGTTACTGCATTGCTACATGACAATATAAAAAATTAACCTTTCACATTGAAAAACAATGATAAACGATTCTTAGAGATTTAAAAAATAATTATATTTAGACTTTCCGTTAATAAAAAAAAAAAAAAGCGTTATAAAAACAAATATTATATACGATCGTGATTGGTGTTGGTTAATGAAAAAATAAAAAAAAAAAAAAAAAAACAACCTAAAATAACAAAAAATACTTGAAAATATTCAAACTATAAGCAACAGCTTAGATAATTATTACTATTACCAAAACTATAATTACTAATATTATAAATTATCGATAGAAGTATGTAATATTTTAAATTACATATAATTTAATAACAATAATAACTATAACAACAACAACAACAATTATAACAATAACAACAACAACAACAACAATAATAATAATAATAAATTGAAATCAATTTAATGACTTAATGGCTATAATAATTTAAGCTCGTGACCAATCAAGTCGTAAGCCATAAATAATTTTTTCGTTCAAACAACATTCCCATTTGGAATGGTGAAACGACGAATCGTAACAACTATTATACGTGCATTGTTGTTTGATGTTTCATACTAATTCAAGAGTCTGTTTATTGCCGACACTACTTTATCAACTCTAATTCAATGTAATCGTACATTAATTTGTCATTAAACAAATAAGCTATTTATTGTAAAACTGTTTACAATGTTTATTATTTTAATAGATAGATAATATTGCTATTTTATAATATTATATATATATATATATATATATATTTTTTTTTTTTTTTTTTTTTTTTTTTACTCATATATTATGTACGAAAAAATATACGCTTAAACGTTTAAGTTAGTTAAAACTTAAACTACTTCAATCTTTCCATCTTCTATAAAACACAATCTTACAATTTTAAGATGACTTTGTTATCATAAATACTAATCTCTATGTTATTATCATAGACCACCGATAAATAATAATCACTCACATTGGTCACTAATCTACATTGTTATCTGATTATTATTACAGAGCTCTGGGTGGAGAAAATTAAGAAATATCGTTCATTGGACGCCCTTTTTCCAAACGTACAAGAAGCAACGATATCCATGGGTATGTCTTTTCAAATCAGATTATCCTACTTACCAAGTATGACGGCTCCTTCCTCCCCATAGCTTCAAAAATGCTTAATTTTTTCAAAACTGCCCACAACAACATCCCACACAGTCGTATGATGAAGTAATCGTAAGAGTAAATGATTCGGCGCTGCTCGTAACGATCCCCGTAAGATTGTGGCCCAAGCCTTTCCCTTTAAGCTCACCGACTAATCTAGCACATTGAGAATGATACTTTTATTGCAATTGTCACTTAAAAGTTATTATATTGTCCCGTCAGCCAATGTAAAGTGGAAATAGTCTTCGTAGCTAATGACTCGGCATTGAAGGGGGGAGGACTGAGCGATCGAAGCAGGATTGATAATGATAAAGTGTCCCCTGTTCGTAGGTTCAGTTAGCGGGTCACCAAGGGAACTTCCGCGCAGGCCCGATGCCCGGCACCATCCTCAAGAAGCTCTGCCCCCAGGAGGAGGCCTGCTTTCAGCTTCTGATGCAGGACGTCCTCAGACCCTATGTACCGGAATACAAGGGTGTATTGGACGTAAGGGAGCTCGAGGTGAGTGCACCTCTTTGTTTCCGATCCCGGAACCTTTGCGTAAATTAACATTCGGTTCATTGACCTTTGCTTCCGCTCGCATTAATTGGTCGAGTATCCATTGAGTAACAACTTGTTGGTAAAACGTTTACGAAAGTAGCTTTGTAATAAACTTTTTGGCCACGGTTATTTTAATATTGCGATGGAAAAACTCGAATGCCTTCAATACACCTTCGATATAGCGTTCTTTCTCGATATTCTTAAGTTGCCAATCTTCCGAACACTTATGGCAGTTCTTGCTTAAGGATTTCTTATGTTCGACAAATTGCTGCTCGTCTCCGTATTGTCATCTTAATGGACAAAAGAAAAAAATAAATAAATAAAATAAGAAAAAAAATGATGATCGTTCTCCTCAACACTTTCACTGTGAATGTCTTATCCAGATTTTAGTCACTTTGTGCTACGTTTGATAGTTTATTAAATCGCTGTTGCTTTTATTTTATAAGAAGATCGATTAACACGTATGAAATTAGGATTTTTCTATACTGCAAGCTATTTGAATATTTATTACTTTTCTTTTTGCTTTTTAACATTCGTCTAATTGTTGTCCATTTAATTCTACCAATTATCTTAATGCAAAATTACTGTCTTGCGATATGTGTATATATATATATATATATATATATATATTATCAATAAGTTTAATAAAATAAAATAACTTCGTATAAATAAAATTAGTGCTCAGTACAGGCGACATTATTAATAAAAAAACAACAAGTTTCTTATAAATAGCTATTGTCTTTAAAAAAAAAAAAAAAAAATTTTAACCCCCTATTTAATGAAAGTTGATAAATAATTTTAAGCGTATTATTTATTAAATTTCTAATGTAATTTAAATTATATTAATCCTAGATATTGTGACATTAAAAGAAGCATGTATTACGATTAAGATATATCGTAAGTTATTGAGTGCTTTATGAATTATGAAAACAAAAAGTACTGCACGTAAACAACCGAACAATAATTCAAATACATAAGCATACTCGTGTGTCTGTACATACACACGTGCATGTGTCTGCCACTCTATATAGATATAAATTTTCAAGGTTCACGAGATGTCATGAAAAACTACTGTAAAAAAAACGAGCGATGGAAAAATATGTAAGGAAAAAAGATAAAGAAACATGGTAATTTATATCTCAAGAAAACAAATATGAAATGTTTTTTTAATTTCAAATGTTATTTGAAAAGTTATGAAATAAACTATAAATATATTTTAAACTTTAATACTTGTCTTAATCGTATTGAAATAATTAAAAAAAGTTTTATTTATTTATTTATTTATTTAATTTTTTTTTTTTTTTTTTTTTTTTTTTGAAAAACATAAAGCTAGAGAACTTAAAATTATACGCAATATCATCAATTATATTATTTTGGGAAAAATCTATTTTTAATTATTAAAAACATGCAGTTTTTATTCACCCAGTGGTGCTAAAGTCATAAATACAGAAATGAAAATTGAATAAATTTCAGTCGCTCTGGAGCTGTAAGATTCAGTTGGAAATGCCTTTCCCTTTTCTGATAATATTGAATAAAATTTGTTCAAAATAATTCTATCGACATTAAAATTAATAGTTTAAATTAGAAATAAAAATAATTTCGAACAATAATGTGCTTAACGTATAATTTTTAAGAAACAACAAGATTCAACAATACAAATTTGTTTGTACGTTAATTGGACTCGTAAAATATATTTTTATAATTTTATATTAAACAACATTTAATATTAATTTAATAACAATAATAATTTCAAGAATTTATTAGTAGAATTTATACTACTAGTAGAATGAATAATGTTACCTTCCTTATATTTATTATGATAACATTTGATATAAATAATTATTATACAGCTACTATAAGCATTTATAATTATAAAAATTGACGTTGAAATTATAGTAATTACATACCTGAATTTACAACAACAAAAAAAAAAAGTTAAATCAGAGAAACTTATTGTTCTATTCATTATCGTCTCACATTAATAGTATCGCCTATCGATTGAAAGTAAAAACCAAATAAAATACTTGAAACCGCAATTTAATTAATATATTATTATATGTACAGTTCAATTATACAGAAAGTAGCATAAAATAATTTGCATTTTAACGTAATAAATTATAATTGCAAATACTTAAACATTATTTGTGATTAAGTATGACCTTTTCCATATGAATATTTATCAATATAAAGTCAACCGTTTATATTTAATATTTAGATTGTGAATATCATTCGTAAGACAATTTAAAAAAGTATTATTAATAATTAATGTGCATTATAAGTGCTAATACCAAATCAATATCAATTGTTCGTTTCTTAATTAAAACATAATTGTCTTTTAAACTAGTACTTTAAAACGTAATTTATACTTTAAAATAAACTCATTGCATATATATATATATATATATATATATATATATATATAAGAAATAATATTCTAAACTGGTTATAATAAATGTTATAATTATAAAAAAGTTATAATAAATATAAAATAACTTATGTCGTTGCTCTAATATTAAAGTATTGTGTGAAGAATATGCAAATGACAGTCACAAGTTATTTAATTAATCAATGGAATCGCAAGAGATGAAAATTTATTATATCAATTTGTCAGTGGTGCCTTCTTAATATAAATGACAATGACGAATTAAAAACATTAGTGTTGGTAAATTTATATTTGTAACATCGTTGCCACCGCTCTTTCATGATGCCCAGTACTGTAGTCGCAATTTTAACGTAATTAATTATTACTCACCCACTCTCTATAATGATAATTTAAAAATTTGTATTACTTATGAAAGTATTTGAGCTTCCGATAATCTCGAATGATCTCTCGATAGTCTGATTTATACATATATGCCCAACGAAAGTCTTTTTAACACTTTCAGGATCGGGGAAAAACCGAAGCAAATAATCATACTGACGGCATTCTAACAAATAACATTGAGACAACAAACGACAAAGAGGAGAACAAAGGCGCGATCGTCGCTTCGTATCTCCAGCTTCAGGATCTGCTGGGAGAATTTGAACAGCCCTGTGTTATGGACTGTAAAATCGGCGTTAGGACTTACCTCGAGTCCGAGCTCGCCAAGGCTAAGGAACGACCCAAGGTGAGGATTTTTATTTTCAACGGGGAAGAGACCGATAAGAGCGAAAAAATATCAATGCGATGAGTTAGTTGTATGCTGCATGAAATATAGGATTTCACTAAAGACTTTGGCTACTTAAATTGAAGGACTCGCGAGAGCGAATTGCTATTTTTAATCTGCTGTATGAGCTGCCTTTTACAATTTAATTAAAGTGCTTACGAACAACTCGTAAAAGCTGTTTAGGTAAATACGTGACGTCGTATTCTCCAAGTGTAAACACTATCGAATGTTTACATCAAAGCATCTTTGACGAATACGTTTAATTTCCTTCTCGGCCGTTAAGCTTTAAATATTACTTTAATTAACGTTAAAAGCATTGCAGAATCTCGCACTCACCCCCCACCCCCACCCGACTCACAGTCGATTCTTCCTTCACCCGTCGACTTTGCGACCCCGTTCCCAAAAAATTAAGTGGGATCGAGTGGGGAGAGCGTATTATAACTTATTGTCACGTTACATGATATTGTGGCGGCAATTTACGAACAAAGAACGAGGAAAGAAAGAAAAATTAATAGCGTTAATGAGCAATGTGGCTTTATCGGAGATCTGAAATATCGTACAACATTTATTGTAATTTAAAAGCCCAAGCGCTTTAAGATACTCATCGGCAATAATTAAGCAAACTCGCTCGAGCTTATTTAAAGACAACTAGCCCTAAGTATCCTCTTTGCATTGCAGCTGCGCAAAGACATGTACGAGAAGATGGTGCAGGTGGACCCGAGCGCACCAAATGCGGAGGAACGCCGTCTCCAGGGCGTGACGAAGCCGCGGTACATGGTATGGCGGGAGACGATATCCAGCACAGCGACCCTCGGCTTTCGAGTCGAGGGTATGAAGCTCGCCCGCGGTGGCTCCTCCAAGGATTTCAAAACGACGAGGACGAGGGAGCAGGTTGGTAAAGCTTCTTCTCCCTTTACGCTCTGATCAATTCAGCAAGCGACGCGAGTCTGCGACCGCGTTTTCTCGTTTCTCCACTGCATTTTACACGGCAGCGTACATACAGTGCTCTCCGAGACCTTGATAAGACAGTTGGCACTGGACTTATTTCGCAGCCCAGAGAAACGAAGGGCCACTGGTTTTGCAACCGCATCAATTAATTCGTGGATGAAAGTCTAAATGACAAATATTAATGTCATGCCGTTGCAAAGAGAACACGAGTCTAACGGATGTTGTTTAATGCCCGTAGATTCTCTACGCAATTTAACAATGAAAAATAATTTGAAACAACAAAAAAACAAAAACAAAAAAAAAAAAAAAAAAACGACAACAACAACAAAGTAATTGTGGAAGTAGGTAGTGAAAGTAGCTTTATCTTTAGCGAAATTGCAGACTGTGGGAACACATACAGTTGTTACAATTTGATAATCGTTCAATCAAATTTCGTCAAATCAAATTTAATCTCTAGATACAGGACGCAATAGTTGGCTGACCTTCCATTGAAAATCGCCTTTTATTATGTAAAGGGTTAAAGTGATCGTTTAAATTATATTAATAGATTTACAAGCTATTTGTTTTCCCAGCAAAATTGACTCATCAATAAAATCAATAAAATTGTATCCGTTTGGAGCTGCTTAAATCAATCTCTGTTAATGCAAATGTTGAGAAAATTATTTCGATGATTAACGTTTAGTTGCGGTATAATATTCATTGATTTTCACGCTATGATATGTCTTTAAAATAATCTTTAAATGATATTTAAACCCGACCGCTTACCATATAAATGAACGATAACAAAAACAAAAAAAAAACAAAAAAAAAACAAAAAACAAAAAACAAAAAATAAAAAAAAAACAAAAAAAAAACGAAAAACGAAAAACGATAAACCACGCATAAACGAAAGAGAAAAAACGATGAAAACTTGTGAACTTAGACGCGCGTTAAGCGTCATGGAATTTCAAAAGTTAATCGTCTGACATTTGCAGGTAATAGAAGCGCTGCAACGCTTCGTGGACGGCTACCCGCACGCGATCTCAAAGTACCTTCAACACCTAAAGGCCATCCGCGCCGCACTCAACATCTCCCCGTTCTTCGCCTCGCACGAGGTTGTTGGCTCGTCCCTCCTGTTCGTCCACGATACCAAGTGCGCCGGCGTCTGGATGATCGACTTTGCAAAAACGCTACCGCTGCCGCAACACCTGCCACGCATCAGGCACGACGCCGACTGGCAGGTCGGCAACCACGAGGACGGCTACCTCATTGGCGTTAACAACCTCATCGAGATCTTCGAGGAGATAAAGGAATGTGGAGTAGGCGCGGAATGAGGATATTTAAGGTCGATTAAGGGCCATCGGCTTTATTTCGCTCGCCAAGTCCGCTCGTATAAGCCTAGAGACTTTTTGGGACGTTTTGCTAAAGCAAGACCGAGGGTTTCGCCATACCGTGGCATTCTCGGCCTACCACGGTAGTCCGCCTTATAAGTGAATAATTAAGCTGCCGTAACTTAAATATAATTTTAATTTCGTGCCGTTATGTGCCTGGCGCCTCCACCGTCTTGCTGCGTTCCATGATTATGTCGGGACGCCAAGGCAGACTTGTCTCGTTCAGGGGACGGCTATAGTTTATAACGGATTTTGCTACTCTACGGTTAATCAAATCTTACTTCACCAAGTAAATTTGACCGAATCATAAGCTCACTGGGATTTTTAATAAGCTATACGTCGATTGTCTCAAGCTAATGGGCATCCCTTAGTCTCGATTTCAACTCTGGGATTCCATTCGGATGGATATTTATTTCGATACTATTGATTTACCTTCGCTATGGTAACATGGAAGCTAGATAGGAGCATCGACTACATTTGCAATAATCAATTCAATGGGAGAACGTGCGTATATACGCATGCACTTACGTATGTGTAAACGAGCGTGAGATAGACGAAGTACCGGTTAGACGAATACTAAGCCCTAACATTTGGATACCTGAATAATTTAATGTATATTATTTAGAATGATAATTAATGTATAAGGTGCGAAGAAAATTATAATAATAATTGGGTAAATAAATTTTCAAATTTAATTTGCCTTGGTATGGAGATGTGTTTCGTTACTGATATTTTTACCATGTATATATATATATATATATATATATATATATATATATATATATATATATATATATATATATATACATATATATACATAT